GGTCTCGAACGTAGTTACCTCCACGCGGTGAGACCTGGGTTGGTAGCGTTTTCAAAGTCTTTGGAAACGGTACCAAGCGAAGAACTACGATCTAGTTTAAGAATCTCTGTATTTGTATGTTAAATTATATATCATTAACTTAATGTATGCGCTAATAAATATTGCGATAAAGAAAATATCTGATTTACAACTTTTTCGATGTTAAACATCTGTTAATTGACAGACTGAGAATTCAATAATTCTCTGACCAAACTAGTAATTAATGTAGAAGCTACAAAATCCAGCTTAACTTGTTAAGATCAATAAGTGATCATCCATACTGGTAACACGTACATAGATATAACGGTCGCTAAATAATTTCATTCCACCGTCAAAGACACGAGCAATTTCAATTTGTACTGAAATCAGCTGCTGATACGATCAACCGTGCCCCATGTCCATTCGACAATTATACGATGCAAATGAAATAAGTAATTATGCGATTCCCGTGCACCATTTGTATTCGAAATTACGTTTCATTTTCATTTCTAATAACCAATTTTCATCAGCTGCGTATCAACAGAAACTTAATTACGACATCGATTAAAGAAAGAAAGAAAGATGTTAAAATTTTTCTTTCGTTGAAAATGAAATTGTACTATATGCCGTTGTTAAGTAACACGTTTCACGTTCGTACAAAGACGTCAGTACGTTTTAAAACCGTTTTAAAACTAACTCATTTAACTATAAAAAAGATCGCAAGGCGAAGAGTTAATTGCGTCGACAGCACGTACATAGTAGTATGAAACATTTATTTACATGGTATCGTGATGATATTCTGTAAAGGTGGCCACCTGTTGTGATGACACGCGCCCCCCCAAGCGACGGCTGTGCACCCTTTCCGTATTCGTTCTCGTCAAACAAACCGTTTGTACAGTTAATTAACCGTTTCACCGGTCTTCGTAATCATCTGAATCGTTCGCGATAGAGCGTAGTTACAATCGAAAAACTGCATATGCTCGAGCGACACACGATGGAATTATTTGTCTTCCATAATTGATCGATCCGGAAAGCCGGCAGAATTGGACCAATTTATGCGATTTCCTGGATCGTTACGAATCCCTTCCGTTGTCTCTTTGTTTCGCCATATAAAATACGAACACAGCTACCGGAGCAATAGAGACAGTCAGGTTGTCGCTGCAGCTATGATTAATCGATTTTACTTGGCCGCTAACGACTTCGGAATGCAGCCAAGTGCCTAGCTTCATTCTTTCCGGTAGAAATAAAGCATACGTGTACACGTTACTGTCTGCGTTTTGAAAAAAAAGGTATGATATACAGGGTGTCCCACGAAACACTGGACAGTCCTTTATTTCCTGAATTATAATGGGAGATGGACAAAGTTTTTGCAAAGGAGTTTACAAAAACTTGAAATTTCGTTCGTGAAGATACGATGGTAAAATTGTTTTTTAAATGGACTATGTATTTTTTTGTATCGTCTGATGGAGGTTCTCGAGATGATTTTATGTATACGGTCGATTTTAATTATGTTTCGAGACATTAAACTAAAAAATTTCCTAATTAACACGAAGAATGTTTCTAAAGGAAGGAAGAGGAAAAGACAACTAATTATGAAACGCATACATTTGATTAAACAGTTAGTCATTTTTATTAAACAACTGTACAGAGTACAAAAACCATTTTCATCAGTTTGCCTTAATTATGACAGTCCTAGTAGGTAGAAGGATTCCGAAATTGTTCTTGCCAATAGTATCCAGAGGTAACTTGTATATCAGCTTAGTCTTGTTTTCCAATATGGCGCCCTTTTTCCGTTAACCACGAGGACTCAATGACGGACAAGCCGCGAACGTAACATCTTCCAGTCGCTACAACCTCCGTAAATAATATTAACGGTGGCTTGGTACCGTGCAAAGTCGAGGAAGGATGTATAGCGACCGGCTGTTTCGAGCTCACCTATACAAACAAAAAATCCAATTACTCCTAAATTCTCGTTGTCTAGTCGCCGGCGGAGAAAACTTATTTCAACTGCGCCCTATACTTCAACGAAATTTGTTTAAGCTTCAAATTCTCGGCATGACAACAGAAAACGCACCCCAACCTCTTCTGTTTAAAAACTCACCCCTTAATCTCGTAGTGCAAACTTTTTCGTCCCACAGCGACGTTGTTTCTCTTCGTCGAAAAAAGTTCACGAAGATAGTACGAACCGTAATGGCGTGCGATTAAAGAGTATACGTTTCTTGTTGTCTTATTCGGAAAAAGTTTTATAAATCTCTCCAAAGTGAATGAACATGTATACTAAAAAATACATGTCCGATTTTACAAACTTGTAAAAACCTTGCAAAAAGAATCTATAAAGCTAAAATCTGATCGAACCTGAAATTGACATGTATCCGTTCTACATGTTAAAAAAAAAACCCTTTCTCATTCCTATCGATTCGTTGACCCACTTGGGAAAAACCCACCGAACATTTTTAGTTTGCACACAAATTCAGAATTAACGATCAAACTCTTCGAAGACGAAACAAATGAAAATCGAGAGATTCATTCACGATAACGTAAGTTTGACCTCCTTGTCAGTCAGTGGTTCGAGCCGAATCGAAATCGATGATCGATGACTTTACGAGGGCGAGAAGAATAAAAGAGGGCGGAATGTACTCACGGTGACGTAAGCCTGGTCCCTCTGCAATTCAGCGAGATTATCGTGGAGGCCCTCGAGGAGCGCTTTTCTGAGTTGCTCGGTATTCGTACCACAGCTGGCCTTCTCCAAATTCGCACGTTCCGCCAATGCGGCGAGTTGCTGTCGCACCTCCGCAGCGTACTCCAGATTCCTGTGATGCAGAAAGTTCTCGTGACACCAGACCTTCTTCTGCTTCGTGTTCGTGTACGCGCGAAAAACGTTCAGCAACGTGACGTGGTCTCCCTCGGGTGAAGCGAATCTGGAACGAACGAAACAAGCGTAACAAGCTGCGAGAGTATCGATCACATCGCACGGCGGATCTGTTTTACGTTTAAGGGAATACACGACCTCTGCTCCAGATTCGTGGTTATTGTTTTATTCTTTTTTTCGTACGTTTTTAATCTCTTATTTCTTTATTTTTGTTTTGTGTCGTCGGTTTACGTACGTGACACGAATCATGATTTGCTCGTAAATCGCTGGCTGTTGTAAACGGATAAGGGAGGATATTTTATACAAAAATAATTCGATTACGTGAGATGAATAACGTATTTTATCTATCGGTACTTTATGTTTAACGAAAAAAGAATTAATAGAATTTGATAGGAAAAAAGATAGTTTTCATTGATGCGAAAATAAAACAAAAAAGCAGAATTGATACCTTGATCTGGCAACGTAAGCTTGCTGTCTCTTCGCGGGTGGGTCACTGAAAACGGATTCTCCCGACAATAAAGCGATAACCGTGAGGGCTTCTTCGAGGCATTGATGCTCTACCGATGCAAGAATCGCCTTGGTGAATCGTGGATCCAACGGGAATAAGGACATTGTTCTGCCGAGTGTAGTCAAGTGCAGCGGAGAACCTATTCATGCGAACATAAAATGAAAATGTTTTACTCAATATGATAATGCGACATACCTCAAGATCTCAATAAATCTGAATTCGAAAGAGAAATGAAAATATTTTAATGTGACGCGCAACGAAACGCATCATTCATCCGAAGTTTTCTCGAAGACAAAACGTGAAAAGAATTGTATTCAAAATGATGTTATCAATCATCGAATTATGCTGCTTTAGACAGCGTAAACGTTGGCGAATAAAATTGTAGCGATTCTCGATGTACATATATGTAGCTACGCGATACAGCTATGATAAGAACCAACATCTGGTTCTTTTTCGTTCCTTTTTATAGCAGGAATATGAAATATTGCTGTTATAAAAAGAAATACAGAAGAGAACGTGAGAACGTCTTGTTTCCACGGACTGAGATACCTATATCTTCTCCACGAGCCGATGTTACCGATTTGAATTTCAGAACATTTATTTTCTGGAAGAACCAAGTTCTTGCTACTTAAAACTAATAATTCTGTATTTTTTTAGACGTAACACATGTTAATTAAACTCGTAAAACTCGACAAGCTGGCACGAAGAAACGTTTCGACGGTTCGGGCGATTTAATTAGTAAAACAATCTGACCTAACTAACGTCAAACTCAAAATCTTGGTCCACCAGCTTAATTGACCAATCTAATTTCTCTTTCCGTAACGAGTATCCAGTTTTCGAGCACATATAAAATACACTTAAATTAACATTTATTGTGAGTTTTGAAAAGAATGTAAGAAAATTTACGCGAACGTCCTTAAGTAAATTAAAAATAACGGAAAACGAGGACTCATTTTCATGGCGAACTTTATAATTTCTTTTGCTTTCCGGACGACTAGACTCACCCTTAACGGCGCCCAATTTCTCCAAACAGGTCACCGCTACGTCGACGGCATCTTTCGGCGGTTTGTCCATAAAATCAAAGGTGGTGATATCAACTCCGATAGCGAGCAGCTGCAATGCTACTCCCGTGAGGGAACACCTTTGTATCTCCGGTACCGGCATCTCCTTCATTCTCTCAAAATCCTCCTTCGTGTAAGTTCTGTAACATTTGCCGGGCGCTTCACGGCCACCTCTGCCGCTTCTCTGCCAAGCCTGTGCCTTTGAGACTTTTTCCACCCTGAGCACATCCAATCCGGTGGTCGGATGATGAGTTCTTGCTTTGACCACTCCGGTGTCGATCACGTGTCGAATTCCTGTGTAATTTCATCGGGAAATCACCATCTGTGTACGTGCGTGTATATGTAGATATGTGTCGCGCCAAAACACGGCCACCTTTCGCGAATGTAATCACGGAAAGCGCGGCGAGTAATCAAGTCTGTCACGAACGAGTGTTCGAATTTGCGATATTAGCAGATTGGACCATCTCGCGGAGAATGAGATTGGTCCTTCTGATGAACAATTTGCCAAATTAACACACGCCACCGGACGATCTCTCGCATTCAATAAAAAGGAGATTCTTTCTCACTTTTACGTGGAAAACAGAGAATGCATTAATTGACGAGAAATTATAATTATCATTATCTTTCTCTCTCTTTCTCTGAATGCTTAAAGCAAAGAAATCAGCTTACACTCGATTTAAAGGAACAAAGAAGGATATTACTTAATAAATTAATTCACAGAGGTTTATGAGACAATCTGCTGCGGTATGGTATTTAGAACTCAGTATTCGCGCTTAGATTTGCTTCATATTTCATCCCGCTGTTATATCGTATTGTCTTTGCGTTACAATACGCAACAGAGAAATTCAAATTAACATTTCCGAAATACTGCAGCACACCACTTTGACTCTAATGTGTTTGTATTACACATTATACATAGAATGGCAAATAAGATAGTACTAGAAACCAATTTTTAGTTTTTCGAAATTCCACTCTTAAAGTGGTGAAAGGAAGCAAAGTGCATTTATGCGAATATTTCATAATCATTATTTTTCTTATCTCGCAAAACCGGTTTATTTAGTTTGCATCACAGCGAGTTCAACAAGCACGTTAACAGTCTTAGTATCTATGAGAAAAACTACAAATGTCGTTTACAAAGAGACACTTCAATAAAGAATGAATTCTATCATTTTTCATCAAAACAAAATTAATGCGAAGTTGCGACATGCATGCTAATATTGATGATACTAATGTATGAAAAAATTTTATTTTTACATTTGAATATTTCTGTCAATTTTATTAATTTATACCCACCACCAATGGTGACAGAAGTTTCAGCTACGTTTGTAGACATAACCAGTTTTCGCATTCCGGGAACGGATGGTTTAAAGGCTTCCAGTTGTTGATGGGTGGGTAATGCCGAATATAATGGGAATACCTTCAACGGTGGATAACCCTTTCCATCCAGTTGCTTAGCTACTTGTCGCGCGCTCGCTACAGCAGCTTCTATTTCTTCCTGCCCGGTCAGGAAAACTAAGATATCCTCGCTGGTGAAAAAATAAAAAAATTCAAGACATCGTCTTTCCTTTTAATCCCATATCCCCGGTTCTACCATCTGCTCCTCTAATTTAATAAAAATAATGGTATGCAAATACGCGTTCGAAGAAACGTGCGATCAAATGTTAAGAATTATATTAAAGGGGATTAAACCGATTATACTTATGCTAATGTGTTTAGTTAGAAAATTAAAAAAGATTTGTATAGAAATTATTATATCAATTTCGAACTGACGTACTAAACATTGTAATTAAACTCGAAATAGAGATAAAATCGCGGTATGAATGTGACGCATTTAAACACGATGCATGTTTGTCATAAAATCGCGACAATTATCGGTAATCCGTACCGTGATCACTTATGCTTCCAATATTTGTGATTCAGAGGGTGAATCCACAATTAATGCAACAAACGGCACAATCAATTTGGAATAATAGAACGCAACTAAGCACTATGAAGAATATTCCTATACCAAAAAGCCTATAACGAGTAAGGGAGGTTCGTAACACGGAATGATAAATTTAAAATGATTACAGTTCTTAAAACTTATTACATACATGTTTTTTCGGTGCTCGCGCTTGATGCGCTTTTTCTATAAATACGTTAAGATTACAGGAAAACTGAACAGAGTCAAACAGCACCATTCAATTATCTACTTTATGAACACCTTGAAATACTTCAGAAGAAATAAATAAAATGCAAACAATTGTTTCATACAGATAATATTATCACGCAGATTGATTTCGCACAGATATGGACGATTTCCCTTCACGAAGTGAAGGATAAGAATTTATAGGATGAGAAAAATGTAACTTACTTCGCGGGGTTGTCGCGATGAATCTGGAAAGCGGTAACGAGGGCGGAGAACATATAGGCATGTAATCCTTGCGTGTAATCCTCTTGCTGCTTTACAGCGTGATAAATTTTAACCGGATGCTGACGACCCTCCAAATAGACGGCCGGCGCTTGAAAATATTTGCTGAATTTATCGACGTCCATCGTCGCCGACATGATGAGCAGCTTCAGCGGAGGCAGGTTTTTCAGCTTTCGCAAATTCTGCGCCCTCCTCGCGACACCGAGCAGTACGTCGGTTTGTACCGATCGTTCATGAGCCTCATCAAGGATCACCACCGAATAATCTGATAAGATTTCATCGATCATCGCTTCGCGGACCATCATCCCGTCGGTTAAGTACTTGATTCTAGTCTGCGAAGAAGTCACATCCTCGAAACGAACGCAATAGCCAACCAATTTTCCCGGTTCCACTCCTTGTTCCTGTGCAACTCTGCGGGCCACGCTCACCGCGGCTACTCTCCGGGGTTCCGTTATACCGATGCAACCGGATGTACCCGCAATCCCGGATGAGAGAAGCAGTTGAGGAATTTGCGTGGTTTTACCACTGCCTGTTTCCCCGATTATGATCAGGGTGTGATGTCTGCGGATTTCTTCAAGCAATCTGAAGTGATTGTAGGAAAGTGCTCGAGAATAATTCCATTATCATATTAAATTCATAAATTCAATCATTTGTGACATCAACTTCTGGGACATTCTGTATAGTAAACTAGAAACAAACTTCCCAGCACCCCAAAGAATATTAAGTTCTTCGATGCAATAATAAGAATAATTAATGTTAAAATGGGTACGAATATTAATCGGACTCACTGTACATTTGGAGTCTTATATTGTATAGTATGTACAGATCAAATTGTTGAACTCAATAGTTGAACACATTCTGAATAGTAATGACCTCCATGGCTGGAAATCGTGTTACGTTGCGTCGTATTAAATGTGTTCCATTCGTCTCATACATTCATGCTTCTCTCAATCATCTTTTACAGGAATATCCAAGCATTTATTAATTCAACACTATTTTACTATTTATAACATAAAATTCTTTCAAGATACAGATATTTATTTCATTCACCGTGCTCATTAATCGATGTACTATTCTCTGTTGTACATTATATCCTATTATTATATATATGTTCTATTATTTTATTTTAATGACAGTATGATTATGAATTTATGTCAACAATTAAAAGATTCAATGTTAAGGCGCTCACAATCTAGAAATAAATATTTTAAGTAAAAGTCATTTTTGTCTGGTTCATTCGATTACGTCCGTAACACGTCTATGTTGTCATCATTTTATCAACAATGAAATTTAAAGGGTTTTATACAGTAAATACGTAATTTGCACGTAAATTGGCATTTATAGAAGGCACAAGTTCCTCGGAGTCTTATTATGAGTAATATAATGCGTACTAAATTATAACTTCTGCTTAATATTATATCATCGCGCGTTGATAATAGCAGATTATAACAAAATGATACTTTCGAATCAGTTTCAATCCGCGCGTTTTTTAATCCGCACGGTGGTGCTATCTATGCGGTGGACAAACAGGTTACTAACTTCGTCCAGTCGATGTCGACGGTACTCCATTTTGTTTCACGATGTTCCACACGCACGCATGAATATATTGTTCGCAGCACGAGATAACAACAAAAAATCAGCCGAGCAACGAAAGAGAATAATGCTGGACTTACCGCTTACGAAGCCTGTAGACTGGTAACGATTTCCTTTGTTGTTGTAAGCTTATGTTTCCTTTATCCGTGTTTTCCGTCTGCACATTCTGTTGATTATCCTCGTGTCTTGCGATTTTATTCGGATTCTCGTTGAACACAACAGTATTAGGACGTTTCGGTGCCAATTTCGAAAAACCCGAAGTACCCATAACGCTGTACTTCGAGTCCGCGTTGTCGTGGACCCCCATTTCGAAGAAAATTCACGTAAAAAGAACGAGCTTACGTATGGTACATGTGTCCACGAGCTCGCACGTGTTGCACACTACAGCTGGTGTACAAATACAAATACGTAAGCATCTTGACAGTACGCTGAGCTATAGCCAATGCCATAGCCCATGATTAACTCAGATCATATAACACATCAAAAGTCTTTTAAAAATGAATAAATTAATATTTTGAAGTAAAGGAATATACTCTCGTAATTGCCGACTATTATCTTGCATTATAAGGATTCTCCATCACAATAGAACATAATTGAATTTTTTAAACTATTACATAAGGTGTTGGATCGAAAAATATTCAACATTTTCATTATGGTCAAGCATTTTTTTTATTATGCATTTTGTAACATGAAAATCATGGATCTTCATTTTCTTCTTTAGTACAATGTTACGACAATTAAACGCTCATTTTATTACAAAAAAATGTACAATATAAATTGAATTGATATCCATACATAAGAAAGGAGTGACACAAGATTAAGCGCATGATTTTTCTATTAATTCAACTGTACGTTATTAAACATTGATTAGGACACGTCTATATATTACAATTAATTACGGATTTTAAATAACGAGCTACTTAACACGAATACACGTTTTTAAGCAGGAGATAGGAAATAATCCATTTACTAGTCCACGTTATAGGCATTACATGATCGTGATTTAAAATGTATCATCATTAAAATTTGTCAAAAAACAAAATTTATATGTTGTCTATAATATTTGTTATATATCTTTTAATATTTGATAATCGTCGACCTATTGATTCGTTAACAAGAACTCCATTCGTCAACTTGTTAACACATGAATCATAATTGTCTTCAAACGCATCAATTAAGAAATTATCACAGATTAAACGCTGTGTAAGAGGAAGACACAGTGAGCAAACATTTTCAACAGCGTTTTTAAACAAATTTTAGCTACTTGAATGTCTTAAATTTGTCTCTAAATAAACTGCATCATCGTAAAGGTCGATGAATCGATGGTTTCACGGTAGGAGGTACCTGAAAGTGCAAAAATCATCTATGCAATCGTGAATTTATCAGAATATGCAGAATTTAAGAAAGATATTACCATTCCTCCGATACGAGAAAGATAACGGTTTCTAATGTTGATATCAGATTGCGATGGCAAGAGATCGTCAGTAGAAAGATCCGAAGTGCTTTCCGGAGATAATAATTTCTCTCTTTCGAGACTCTCAGGTGTGCGTCGAAGCGCTTCGTATTTTTCTCTCTCACCTGGCGTCATATTAAGATAACCACCGCTGGTTGCCACGTCCCATACCCAAATTGCAACTGAGGTTATCAGGGAAACTGTTGAATAAGAGATTAATAAGAAACTTGCTAATTACGTGATCGAAATATATGAAAAAAACGTACTCCATAACCATCCCAAGAAAAACATCTCAAGCATGAAATATCCACCTTTGTCAACAATTATACCAGCTAAAATCGAGACTACGGCCAAGCCGAGATTCTGTACAGCCTGTGCACTGTAAATAAATAATCGATAGTATTACGAGTCTAAGCCAAATTATGAAAGGCTGCATTGAGCTTTACTTACAGTCCATAAGCGGTACCCAATTGATACTCCGGGGTAACGAGAGCAATTAATGGCCATAAACTACTAGCGAGCATAGAATATGCCAATCCCATAAGAACCATGCACATATAAGGATTTACATAGGTAAATGCTAGTAGTCCGTGAGCCACTATCGTTGCCAAAATACCAATAAACACCCAAAAAACATTCCTCCCGGTTCTATCAACGATATACCCAAAAGCGGGAGACGCGATAGACGATATTAGATATACGAGGGAATTAACACCATTCGCAAGTGTTGGATCGTATTCGTACTTCCGTTCGAAAAATACTCTAAGGAAGTAATTACGTAATATTGTGTGCTGTGATATATAATTACGGAAACTTTTAACACTTACTTGCCTAAAGCGATAAACGGGAATATCGCAACGTAATAAGCAATGCAAATGAGAGCTATCAGCCAAAATATTGGCTTGAAATCTTTAATATCTGTTAAACTAACAGGCTGTTCTTCTTTCCCCTCGCTCCGTCGCAGTAATCTCTCGGCACGCTTATCCATAATACCAAGAAGGCAAGCACAGATCATAGAACCCACGCATGTGAGAGACGCAAGAAAGAGAACTATGCCAATACAATCAGGCCCCTTGTAATACTGAGATACGTATTTGTATATTGGCTCCATTACTAGGAAGTTCACAGTTGATCCGACCCTAGCAAAGCTCAGCTGGAAACCGAATACCATATTCAGCTCTTTTCCTTTAAACCACAGGACAGCGTAATTATTTTGCGCAACAGCCAATGATTCTGCACCGATACTGCAAAAGGATAACAAATTAATACCCGTTATCACTTACTGTGATCATTGACTTACAAGGGAAACAAACCCGAAAATAAAGCGTCCAAGCATCATTAACCAAAAGGTGTTGACTATAGCTCCAGTTGCAAAAATTATCTGACCGATCATAGTAAGTCCCATGTATACAATTGTTCCCAAACGTATACCGAACACGCTGTCTATCAAAAATCCGCCTATGAAGCAAAAAATCACGTTCGGCCACGAGTAAATGGAATAAAGCCAAACAAATTTGCTAGTCGACATATGCAGATCGGACTCAAAATTATCCTGCAGTGCACTAGGATTGTCAAAGCAGAAATAGGAACCTGTAAGAAAAAAAGGCATTTTTACTTAATTAAGTGACGCATAAGATGAAAGTGTGGTCCTGTAGTAAACCAATTATCTTAAAGGGCTCTATAATCGTTTGTAAGGCATACAAAAGAGTGCTGTTAAACCGTGGTTCATAATCCGTGAGCATCGGACTTGCAAATGCGCGTTCCGTACTATCTTCTCCAGATGAATCCTAATGCAAAGAATGTTAATGGGTGGAAGAGGATAAAACTTCGGTGAAAACAAAAGATACTGATACAGCTTATCTATCAAACGTATCCGGAACCAATGAGACATAAATATGACTTACACAGATTGTATGGACAACTGTGTAATCGTATTTATAATACTTTTGGCCTCACGACGAAATGACGGAACAGAACAATAAGTAAATCTTAACAAAGAAGGAATAATTGATTAAAAAATCGAGATAGAATTTTCGGAATGTAATTATAATTCTTTCCGAATCGCGAGAAGCTATTTACCGGAAATGTGACAAAATGCTACGATTGTTTCATGGC